CTGGTCTTGGGCGCCAGCGGTGGATTACCTCAGTAACCCTGAATATTCGCTTACCTGGCGATTGGCTCGGAATCGGCTGCCTCTCAACGACAATGCTTTCATATGGGGTTTGGCGGATTTGCCAGACTGTGACCTTGCTCCCGAACAGCTTGTGTCCATTGATCACGCATACGCGTGTGACAATGTGTCGCCCCCGTATTCCGGGGTGAAACGGATGGTGTTTCTGACGCTGATGGCCACGGCTCGAATGGTGATTTGGACGACGCGAATGGAGGAAGTCTTGCGGGACAACCGTCTTTCTTATCTGCATTTAATCCGATTCTTTGAGCATCAGCTCAAGATGAAGATTAGATCTGATAGAAAACGATTGCATTCGACAGTCTATAGCGAAAGGTGGGTAAAAGACGCGAGCTTGGTTCGTGTGAACGGGGCTAGCCTTGATTTTCTCTTCTAGATCAACCTATTGCACATCGGAGTGGCTTCCTGTGGAACCCTCCCATTAGTTAGGTTAGACAAGTTTCAGTGTACCTAGTTAATGTGAGTAAGTGTTGTTTCTGGCCTGTATCCCGGCCGCTTCTTTGGTTATGATTCAAGTCGAGATTCCCAACCTCCCCAGTTTGTTTTTGACCCCTTTTATCTCGACTGGGTCAGCTTTACATTTTTCCATTCCCGCATAATATTTTATCCTTTTCCCACTTCCTTAGCGAGAGCGCCTCTTGATTATGTCCTCTGGGAAGAATACTGCGGCCTCTCTGTTTTGAGAGTTGGACGGTCCCTACTAAGATCAATTATGTTTACTTTGCATTTTGTGTTGATTTTAGTTTATTTTTTGGGTTCATCTTCCCTCTCCTTTCATTTTTATCATTATTAGAATTTTATGTATTTGTCTATCTTCATCAAATTTTTTTATGGCGTGGGGCGTTTTGTGAGTTCCCCTGGGAGAGGATGTGGTATTATGGTGGAGGAGGTTTAAACGGTGATGGACGAGTTCTTGTGGTGAATGAGTAAATTGTAATGTATGAATGGGTCGTGAATCTGATTAGCTAGGTATAGGATAGTTAGTTTAGACCAGACTCTACCCCTCCTCTTTTCGGCCTTGTGCCACAATTTGTTCTTCTGGTATGAATAAATATCGTATGAGTCTAGCGACTGATTAGTGCAAACCTCTACTTCACAACAAAGTCTCTTTTTTTTTTACTGTTGAATTGACTTCCTTGTTTTGACTTCTACCTGACCTCAAAGTTCAACCCCAGGATTTCGAAGCAGCGATACCTTTCCTCTAAAAAAATAATAGTCTACTAAACTATTATTTAACAAGTTGATGACCAACCATTTCATTCTCAGCTTTTGATTTTGTTTCAATTACTAGAATAAATATTGTTTCCCTGATCAGCATCCTGACTGAATGAATTTTAATGTACTAAAATAAAAAAATCTCTTTTTTTTACTGTTGAATTAACAAGATGTAACCGACAAAAGGTGGGTGACTCTTTTCTCGTCTGTGGCGGGTGAAAGGAGATGTGACTTGGAGTGGCATTTTGATATCGGTTAGGCACCAGAATATCGAATAAAGAATATATGAGCATCGGCCCCTTTTTATTTTCCTCCTTTTCCTTTCTTTAGTTTAATTCTCCATCCCGTGACAGGTGACAGAAATATTATTTTTTTATTTTAGCAACTATTAGTTTATTTTTATTATGGGTGTGCAAAAAGGAAATAATTCTGAATTACCGTCTTTGACTACTTTTCGCTATCGGAAAAGTAATACGATATATAATAATTCGGAATATTTAAAAAACACATTGAGTACCACTAGATATTTTATGACATCAAACAGATAAGAAAATAAAACAAATAAAACCAAAATAAAAGCAATGTATTAAACTCAAACGTTCCATTTCATTTATTTTTAAACGTGAATACCAATGTCTTGTTTATTGCCTTTCTAGTGTTTCCTTAATTTTTAGTTTTAATTTTATGCGTTATACATGTGGAAACGTTTCAATTAACTTTCAATGTATCAAAGAAAAAGAAAATTATTAATTCAAATAAGTTTCATAAACTTGGAAAGAATAAAAAAAAGACACATTTTATTAAACTATCGATTAGAAGTATTAACTCGTATAGAATTAAAAAAAATATTTTCTTAAACTATCGATTAAAAGTGTTTAAAGATAATTCATTTTTAAACGTAAATACCAATGTCTTGATTATTACATTTCGTGTTTCCATAATTTTTATTTTTAATTTTTCGCGTTATACATGTGGAAAGCCATGATCACCAATATCCTAAAGACACGTTAAGTAAAAGAAGACACTAAAAAGAAATGTGTTAGCAATATTATTGCATTTCGTTTTCCGTGTTTCCTTAATATGGAAAGAGACAAGGTAAATAAAAGAAAACACTAAATCTGTTAATATGCTATATTGAAATAGCAACAATTTAAGGTTTGAACACTAACTGAATGAAATGAAATAAATTAGCAATATTTTATTTTTGCCCCCACTTTCTTTATTTTAATTCTCCCTGCCGTGCTAGGTGACAGAAATATCCGTTCTGTAGTCGATGCGGGGCGCTTTTCCAATTTCGAGCGCGCATTTCGTATTTTTCTCCACACTTTATTTAGTACAATCCTCCATCCCGTGACAGGTGACATATTTTTTTCATTTTGGCAACTGTCAGATTATTTTTTTATAGGTATTTAAAAAGGAAATAATTGTGAATTACCGTTTTGACTACTTTTCACTATCGGAAATGTAATCTGTACAATTAGATATTTTATGACATGAAACAGATGAGAAAATAAAACAAAAATAAAAGCAATGAATTAAACTCAAACATACCATTTCACTAGAAGCAAACTACTTTCAATGTAGTAAAGAAAAAGAAAATTATTAATCTAATATGTTCATAAACTCGTATAGAAATAAAAAAAAAACATATTTTCTTAAACTGTTGATTAAAAGAATTTAAAGATAATTTATTTTTAAACGTAAATACCAATGTCTTGATTATTGCCTTTCTAGTGTTTCGTGTTTCCTTAATTTTTAGTTTTAATTTTTCGCGTTACAACATATGGAAAGCCATAATCACCAATATCCTAAAGACACGGTAAATAAAAGAAGACACTAAAAAGAAATGTGTTAGCAATATTTTATTTTTTACCCTTTTTTTTTATTTTTATAAATGTGCTAGGTGACAGAAATATCAGATCTCTAGTGGATGCGAGACGTCTTTTGGATTCCGAGCGCGCATTTTGTATTTGTTGTTGTGTCTGGATGAATGTGTGTTTGATTGTGTGTTTGTTAGAATAATTGGTTCAATTCTTTATTCTCGCATCAATTTCGTCTAGTTGCACAGGGGTTGACAATTACTCGTTACCCTCAATATTTTCATTGTCCCATTTTTAATTACTTCTTTTCAATGTTCCTTCAACGTTACGTTTTCTCGATTTCTTGTTTCAATGTTATATTTTTTTTATTACATCTGCAAGAAATGACATACAAACACTTCCTGGTCATGTTCTTCTCAGAAGAAACAAGTTTAAATATGTTTAGGTTGAAAATTGGAACGTTGGAATTTCATTCCGATGGTGAGTGAAATAATTATAGGACAGCCTTATTATTGGAGCGCACCCACCTTCTAACTAGTAATGGACTGGTCCCTCTTATATAAGTCAGCTCTGGAGAGCGTCAGTGACAGCAGTCCAGATAAGCTTACCCGTTACATACCGTTGGACTATAGATTTTGGATATTGTTTCGTACTAACCAACCTTCGTTCTACTAATCACTCTATTGTTAATTGCTTTTATGAATATACCAGTATTTTCCTCTACAACTGTGTTTGTCTTGATTCATACACCGACACGCGGGAAACTCACAACATCTCAACACTTATAAAATTTATAATTAAAATATAACCAGTTATTTGTTTAGAAATCAAAAGAGATATTAAATTCCATAACCAACAACTGTATATCTTCAACATGATCCAGAGAATAAAGCAACAGTCGACCGAAATACAGAATATTGTATTAAAAGTTTGACAGCACAATTTCTCGTTTTGCCTCTAGAAAAGATTCTTTTCAGAATGTTCCAGTCAGATGAATTGGAGGTGAGGAAAGGGATATAACAAATGTTGTCTATTGAATAAAATAAACATTTATTCATACTTAATTAACCATGTCAATTTACATGAATAAATTTAGCATTTCATTCAAATTACATCACAAAAATATAACCTTTATTTTTGTTGTTTCAGAATTAGCGAGTCACAAAAGAAGAGATTTAAAAAAAATACATTCATCTCTGAAGCGATACGTTGGTCAAATTTGATTAAACCCTCACAAAATGACATTTCTGAACCTGCGCTTGGATAATGTTCTTTTCAAATAAAAAAACTTCAAGAAGTTCTAATGAATGGATCGAGGTTGGTGTTGCCAAATTTACCTGCACATTTGCAAGGTGTGAAAAGAGCAATTAAATTAAATATTGAAGCTTCACAAGTTTTATATAAACAAGAAACATGGGACAATTACATTATCATCAACTCATTGAACCATCGAATAAGACTTTTATATACTTTAAAAGGGAATTATACTGAGTAATGTAGCCATATTCAATCGTGCTGTAGTGTTTTCGTGTGATTCCCAATAGAAAATCGTCTTATATTTATGGCCCAGCAGTATTATGACATTGTATACACTTTTACATATTTTTGTTTGTATTTATTATGACCTAAAAGATTAGATAAGATTTTATTAATTGACTAACCTTTTCGTAATCATTGACTAACCTTTCCGTAATCTTTGTACACAGTTTTCACTAAAAGAATACAGTAAAAAATTACATATTTTGATCGTTCTGATTCATAATTTGAATTCTGGTTTGGATATATTTTCCTTTCAAAGGAATTAATAGAAAAATTATCTACTTTTTTGTATTTATTCTTGTTATTTCAGGCTTCTATATTTACGAAAATATTAAAAGAATGACTCACCGATGGCGAAACAATTAATCCTGTTCCTCTCAAGTCGATCTGGACAATTCCTTTCCGTTGATTACAGCTAACACCTAAACAATCACCAGTTGTGCCATATTCCAGATTAACAGAACAAGTTCGTCCTGAATTCTGGAACGATGACGGATTTGATATTTCCAGGAGCTTCGAGTCGCAACTTACGTTGGTAAACGTTCTATCTTTCACTACTACCCGTAAACGCTGAAAAAGAAGAAAGAAAAGAAGAAAACACGATAAAGAATTACTTAATATTTACAAATATTTTGACGAAATTCGTCTTTTAAAGAGCGTTCGAGAAAAATAGATGCATTGCTTGTAATGATGATGATGATGACGATTTATATTTCATTTCATTTGAAAGAATTTTTAAAAATTTATTTTTACAAAATTGAAAAAAAAATAAACATCAGCTAACAATGTATATAACTAGACCTAGCGGAATATATATCTAAACTAATTTTTGGCTAAATGTTCAATCAATAGAAGGCCCAAGAGCCACTCAAGGTAGAATAAAACTGAATGAGGTTGTCCCTAGATTTTGAAGAGGTTTCGAAAGAATTTGACACCACGATCACGAAACCCGTAAGCTCTGTGGTCCGGAGAGATACCTATATACTGAGGCTGTGGCATCAGTGGTGTATCTTAGGCAAGAGAGACTGGGGAGCCCAAAATTCTCCAAGCTCATGGTCGGAACGCTAATACTCAAACCACATGCAGTGAGAAAAGAGATAGCGAAAGAGATAAAGCGAGACAGAGAGCGTGAGTAAATATTAAGCAATTTTTTACATTTATTTTTACAAAATTAAAATTAAAAAATCAGATAAAAATATATATAATCAGACCTTGAAGAATCTCATCTAATTTGGTTAAATGTTCAAATCATTAAAAGGCCCAAGTAGCACTCGATGTAGAATATAATTAAATGAGGTTCTTCTATGGACGAAAGAAGAGAAAGTAAATGCAGATTATGATGATATTTAAGAGAGACAACTGTTGTCCCTAGATTTTTAGGGGGTTAAAAATGAACCAGACATCACGACCACGAAACCCGGAAGACGTGAGGGCCGGAGAGAGACCACATGTACTGAGATTGTGTCGGCAGTGGTTTATCTTGAGCAAGAGAGGCTGAGGAGCCCCAAGTTCTCCAGGCTCATAGTAAAAACGCTAATGCTCCAACCACATGAATTAAGAAAGAGGTCGATGAAGACATAGAGCGAAAAAAAAAAAGAGAGAGAGAGAATAAATAGAAATAAAGACGCTTAACATACAACAAATCTCCAAACGAATGTTCTGGTAAAATATAACACATTGGTTATTTCTGGTCCAACTGATTGTTGCAGAAGAACGATGTATAGGCGGGTTTTGTGAGAAATTATCATGAATTTGTGTCATGTAATCTCTTGGATATTTTGGTTTATATTGTAGCAATAAACTTTCAGCAAAGGTTTCGTACACATCACCGGCCTGACAGTATAATGACGCCCAGAGCTGCCGTTATTGCATATTTTAATTTCGCGACTGAGGATATGTGAGGAAAACGGACAATAAGAGAACAGGGTTGAGAAAAACAGTAGACATGTCGCATAATAAACATATAATGTCGTAATAGAGAAAATGAGAATGTGTGAGTGAGGACAAAGGACAATAAGAGAACAGGGTTGAGCAAGACAGAAGATGGATATGGCAACATGGATATGGTAAGCATTCATAAAAGAAGAAAAGAAAAAGAAGAAAATACATGCTCTACGGCAGGATGTATAAATCTAAAAAAGGGATCGTCTCATAATAGAGAAAATGAGAATATATGAGTGAGGACAAAGGACAATAAGAGAACAGGGTTGAGGAAGACAAGATGGATATGGCAACATGGATATGGTAAGCATTCATAAAAGAAGAAAAGAAAAAGAAGAAAATAGGTGCTCTACGGCAGGATGTATAAATCCAAAAAAGGGATCGTCTCATAATAGAGAAAATGAGAATATATGAGTGAGGACAAAGGACAATAAGAGAACAGGGTTGAGCAAGACAGAAGGTGGATATGACAACATGGATATGGTAAGCATTCATAAAAGAAGAAAAGAAAAAGAAGAAAATACGTGCTCTACGGCAGGATGTATAAATCTAAAAGGGATCGTCTCGTAATAGAAAATGAGAATATGTGAGTGAGGACAAAGGACAATAAAGAGAACAGGGTAGAGGAAGACAGAAGATGGATATGGCAACATGGATACGGTAAGCATTCAAAAAAAAAAAAAAAAAAGGAGAAAATACGTGCTCTACGGCAGGATGTATAAATCTAAAAAGGGATCGTCTCATAATAGAAAATGAGAATATGTGGAGTGAGGACAAAGGACAATAAGAGAACAGGGTTGAGGAAGACAGAAGATGGATATGGCAACATGGATATGGTAAGCATTCATAAAAGAAGAAAAAAAAAAGAAGAAAATACGTGCTCTACGGCAGGATGTATAAATCTAAAAAAGGGATCGTTTCTTAATAGAGAAAATGAGAATATGTGAGTGAGGACAAAGGACAATAAGAGAACAGGGTTGAGGAAGACAGAAGATGGATATGGCAACATGGATATGGTAAGCATTCATAAAAGAAGAAAAGAAAAAGAAGAAAATACGTGCTCTACGGCAGGATGTATAAATCTAAAAAAGGGATCGTTTCTTAATAGAGAAAATGAGAATATGTGAGTGAGGACAAAGGACAATAAGAGAACAGGGTTGAGAAAGACAGAAAATGGATATGGCAACATGGATATGGCAAGGATTCATAAAAGAAGAAAAGAAAAAGAAGAAAATACGTGCTCTACGGCAGGATGTATAAATCTATAAAGGCTGTATCAGCAGTGGTGTGTATTGCGCAAGAGAGCCTGATGGAGACAAAAATTCTCCAAGCTAATGATCGGTACGGTAAAGTTCCAACATCACGGCCTAGGAAAAAGTGAGAGATATAGAGAGTGACACACACACACACACACACACACACACAGAAAGAGAGAGAGAAGTTAAAAGTGAGTGAGTAAGAAAATAAAGGCGCTTAACTTACGATAAGTTCCAAACGTATCTTGTGGTAAAATATAACACCTGGTTTATTTGCGTTCCAATTGATGTCAGTACAAGTTTTGTATATCGGAGGATATAGTGAGAAATTGTCGTGAATGAGCGTTATGTAATCTCCAGGATATTTTGAGTTCATGTCGTGGCAATAAACTTTGAGCGAAGATTTCCGATGCAACACCGGCCTGATAGGATAATGACCGTCTGAGCTGGCGTTGTTGCAGATTTTGATATCCCGACAGCTGGTCAAATCTTAGAAACAAATCAACAATTATTAGTGAGAGCAAACAATAACAATTCCACAATACATCATTTAAATAAAAAAAATTAAAGCAAATGCAAGACGGCAAAACAAATGTGTACAGAGACAGGAGTCCAAGCAACAGGAATATGACAGGCATGCACAAAAGAAAATACGTGCTCTACGGTAGGATGTATAAACCTAAAAAGGGATCGTCATATAATAGAGAAATTGAGAATATATGAGTGAGGACAAAGGACAATAAGAGAACTGGGTTGAGGAAGACAGAAGATGGATATGGCAACATGGATATGGCAAGCATTCAGAAAAGAAGAAAAGAAAAAAAGAAAACACCTGCTCTACGGCAGGATCTATAAATCTAAAAAGGTATCGTCTTATAATAGAGAAAATGAGAATATATGAGTGAGGACAAAGGACAATAAGAGAACGGGGTTGAGCTATTTTAACAATAAAAAAGATTAGATGTCGTTACCAATGTATTAGTACGCTAAAATTAATGCAGTGAATTACCAAATTAGATAGCTTACTTTAGGTATTGACCTGAATTCTCTCCATTCTGTAGACTGCAATGTATGAAAGACATACATATTACCTGTTTTTATATCCATTTCCAACTGGTTTCAAAGATGGTTTTTCACTATTTACTCTGTTCTACTTGCCCCAATGTATCATGTGAATGTCGAATTCTCTAAGCTCCCTATCCTCATTAAATTTTCCAGAAATCCTATGTACATAATTCTATGCATAATTTGTTTTGTACTTGTTTCCAGTTTCATCAAAATGTCCTCTTTACTTACATTTTTCTCCTATGCTATTCTCAGCAGCCATCTGTAGAACATTATCTCTTTTACCTCAAGTCTCTTTTTCATTGACTGCCATTTTGGAAACTGACATTGCATTACACTTCAGCAATTGATAATTAATTAGGTAATTGATATCTGCAATTTGTAGATTGTAACATGGACTGTATCTCTTACTGACAACTATTTCTTACTCCTTCTGAAATCTGATACTTAGTCCGTTCTTCTCGCTTTCTTTAATACATTGTCTGTTTCTTTCACCAGTATCTCATATTATTAAGAGATTGCTAAGATAGCTCCGAGATAAATATATCACCCTCTTTGGTACAAATTCTAATCATATACACGTGGGTTACTCTCGGCATATATTCTGCATTATTGTAATTTTTTTCCGAAATAAATAAAGCTTACCTAGCAGTTCATATAGATCTCCTTGTTGTACCGGTCAAACTACTTTTTCAATTTAGTTTCTTTTGTTTTACGGCACATCAACTTCAAGGGGTTATTTAATGCCGAGAAGATTTTTATTTTTGGTAATATTTTTGTTCAAAAATATATTGCTGGTAATAATTTTTTACTTCAAAAATATATTGCTTGTAATAATTTTTTACTTCAAAAATGTATTGCTGGTAATGATTCTTTACTTCAAAAACATATTGTTGGTAATAATTTTTTACTTCAAAAATGCAATGATGGTAATAATTCTTTACTTCAAAAATATATTGCTGGTAATATTTTTTTTACTTCAAAAATACATTGCTGGTAATAATTTTTTACTTCAAAAATATATTGCTGGTAATTATTTTTTACTTCAAAAATGTATTGCTGGTAATAATTCTTTACTTCAAAAATGTATTGCTGGTAATAATTCTTCACTTCAAAAATGCATTGCTGGTAATAATTCTTTACTTCAAAAATATATTGCTGGTAATATTTTTTTTTACTTCAAAAATATATTGCTGGTAATAATTTTTTACTTCAAAAATATATTGCTGGTAATAATTTTTACTTCAAAAATGCATTGCTGGTAATAATTCTTTACTTCAAAAATATATTGCTGGTGATATTTTTTTTACTTCAAAAATATATTACTGGTAATAATTTTTTACTTCAAAAATATATTGCTGGTAATAATTTTTTACTTCAAAAATATATTGCTGGTAATAATTTTTTACTTCAAAAATGTATTGATGGTAATAATTCTTTACTTCAAAAATGCATTGCTGGTAATAATTCCTTACTTCAAAAACATATTGCTGGTAATAAGTTTTTACTTCAAAAATGCATTGCTGGTAATAATTCTTTACATCAAAAATATATTGCTGGTAATATTTTTTTTACTTCAAAAATATATTGCTGGTAATAATTTTTTACTTCAAAAATATATAGCTGGTGATAATTCTTTACTTCAAAAATGTATTGATGGTAATAAAGCATTGCCAGTAATAATTTTTTCCTCAAAAATTCATTGCTGGAAATATTTTTTTACAAAAGTGTATTGTTGGTATTAAAACCTATTTTTTTTTTACTTTCATAGTGTTTTGACCCCAGTTTGAGGTTAACTATTTTCCCATAGCTGGGACCCCAAATAAATAAAGCTTACCTAGCAGTTCATATAGATCTCCGTGTTGTGCCGGTTCAAATACTTTTTCGTAGGCATAAAACATAAGCGTGCATCGTTCGGCATTCGTATTGCTTTTTTTGATAATACGAATAAGGGAACACTTTCTAATAATAGGAATGATTTATCAATTTTATATATGCCATTATAATTATGACATTATTTTAAAAAGTCGAACTGTTCTTGCTTCATTTTTGTGTAGCATTTTACTCCTGCCTCAAAAACAAATCTAGTGTCGGCGACAAAAGTAACCTGGCCGTGCGTCTTGAAATGGACCTCCAATCGGTTGTTAACTGGGGTAAGAATTAGCTGGTCAACTTTAACGCCTCGAAAATTAAATTACTCTCCATTAACCACCATAGAGATCCTTCCCTGCCCCCCACTAAAATGTCTAATAGTCAACTTCCTGAGAGCAACTCCCTGCGCCTGCTTGGTCTCATGCTGACTGCTGACCTGAGATGGAACAAATACATTGAATCAATTGCTTCTTCCACCGCGAGAAAATTTGGCTCTCTATGCCGCGTCAGGAAATTTTTCTCCCTTGAATCGATACTTCAAATATACAAAACAACCATTCGCCATTGCATGGAGTATTGCTGCCATATATGGGCTGGAGCACCTTCTGCTTACCTCGGAGTTCTTGACAAGATCCAGAGACGGATATGTAATGTAATTGGCCCTGATCTGGCGTCTCGTCTACAGTCACTCTCTCACAAACGCGACGTTGCCTCTCTCTGTCTTTTCTACAAATACTTCCATGGTAATTGCTCCGATGAGCTGCTTTCACTGGTTCCCAGACTCCATGAATTCAAGCGCCCTACGAGGCTGGCATCGCGCTCCCACCCTTACACTATAGACATTTTTAAATGTAGCCGTCTCTTCTACTCCAATAGCTTCATACCTCGCACCTCTCGCCAGTGGAACACCCTTCTCAATTACTGTTTCCCTGAAAGCTATAATCTCCAACTATTCAAATGTAATGTCAATCGACACCTCCAGTTACCTTGATCTACCCACTATCCTTCTCCTCATCCTTTCTTCTATCACTCCTATCCGCTCTCGATCTAAATCTTCCGCAGCCCCCTGCATCCTAGTGGCTTCACGCCTTGCTTGGGGCGTAATGCTTAAAACAAAAAAAAAGCATTTCTGTACTAGCTTGACCTTTGACATATTCAATTTGTAGATCATATCTTGTACTTTCTGTCTTGCTGGCAATCACACATTCCCTCTCCTTAAAATTGAAGTTTATTTCTTTTCATCTAGCTTTCCTACATTGACTAAGGGATCTGCGTAACTCCTATTTTTAATACTGTGGTTAAGCATCTTAGAACTTCGCTGTATAGGTTAAATACATCCGATAAGATGCATTATTGTCTTCCCCACCTGGCTATTTTTCTGTGTTATATAATGTTATCCATATTTTTTATCCGCATGCAGGCGGCTCCTCCACCACCTCCGGTATAGATTCTGAATTATTGTAATGTCTTCCCAAATAAATCAATTTTTTTGTAATTCTTTTGCGGCTGTATTTGTATTGGCCTCTGTGACCATAAATATTGTATTACTTGTTCCATGACATCAACGAAGACACGGCGTTCTTTCTGTTTCCAGTGTAACTCTGCTACACGTTTTATTAAACAAAATCCGGATAATAAGATTCATTAAGCCGATTGTTTAATCGAGTCCAAATTCATTTGCGCCTGGTTTTTTAGGTAACGTTAATAAAAGGCCTTCCGGTATCTCGCCACTGTCGTATATTTAATTTACTATTTCTGTAACTTTGTCCATACGGAAATAATCTTCGGTTAATAAAATCTCAAATGCAGTCCAGTCAGACCAAGCCGCTTTGTTCTTGTTCATCTTATCTAGTGATGAGCTTAATTTAGTCTTCCAGGGTATTTTGTATTGTAGGTCCCTCTTTATTTCTGTTTCACTCGTCCTATTCGTTCCATGTCGTCATTTCCATTCTGTATTTATAATATTGTTTTTCTTCTTTTGTTGTCAATATAATTTCTGTTTTATTTCATTTAATGATTGGTCCTTTATTCTCACTTTCCTTAACTATATCTAAGTTTACATCCACATATAATGAATCCTGATCGCTTCACTTACGCTGTGTATTGGTTGAATACTAAGCACGACTGATTTCAGCCATAAATCCGGAGGAGTTATTGATTTGTCTTCCAAGAGTGTAAATACAACTAATTTTCGATTTAATGTGAAGCTCTACCTGAGCTACGTGTGGACAAAGATCGAAATTTCCCAGCCCTTCGGCCAGTCAAGAAAAAAACATGTACTACACTTCTGAATGATTGGGGAGATACTGCTGCGTTGTTGAATCTCAAGTGCTTCAAAATATTATTAAGCTTAACACCGGTGTAGTTGGACGCTGTCAAATAACAGGATTCACATATCCCACATGGTTGTTAGGGCACCTCGAGGTGGTGTAATGGTTAGCAAGCTTGTCTCGCTAGAACAATTACGACTGAGTAGTGAGTTCGATCCTCACTGGGTGCCTCTTACTTTCAGTCTTCTGCCACATCCAAGCTACGCTTGGAAAATCACTATCTCACATGGTTATTTCTGGCAAGACCCTATACCAATCACCTAAAGAGAGAGAGGGTAAGAGAGATATATAGTAAGACAGAGAGAGGGAGGGAGAGAGAGAGAGTAAGAGAGTGAGAGTAAGAGAAAGAGAGGTATAGAATGAGTAGGAGAGATTCTATCTAGATAGAAAGTAATATATATATATATATATATATATATATATATAGAGAGAGAGAGAGAGAGAGAGAAAGAGAGATTGAAATTTCCCTACCCTTTCTGCCAGTGGGATAAAGACGTCAAAGAAACGTATGTCCTAAATTTCTGATTCAATGAGGATATTCTGTCCTGCAGTTATATCTCAATTGCTTAAAATATATCATAGGCTTACCTTCTTTAACACAGGTGTAGTTGGATTCTGTCGGATGACAGACTTCACATATTCCACATGGTTGGTTCTGGCAAGACCCCAT